AGCTAATTACTATGTGCGGTATAGGAAACGTCATCGGAAATTTTATTCCACCTGTGTTTATACTTCAAAGAGTAAGGTTTCATGATACCATTATAAGTGGAGGACCTCTTGTATAGGATATGTAAACAGTCTAACAAGTGGCTTAATGACAGGGAAATTGTTTTTAAAAGTTTTAAAACACATAAAAAAATTTGTTAAATGTTCAAAAAATGATCCATTTTTGCTCTTATAGGACAATTATAAAAGCAACAGCTCATTGGATGCCATCAATCATTGTTGTGAAAATGAAATAGTAGTTTTAACATTTCCTCCTCATTGGACTCATCTTATGTAACCTGTAGACATGGCAGTTAATGGTCCTTTAAAGCAAAAATTGACTACGAGTCAGAACGATTGACTTTTATCTAATCCAGGGAAAATAATAACAATACATGATTTAGTTGGCATATTGACGCCAGCATATACCACTACATATTCTGCCTGGAATATTATTTCTGGTTTTTCTACAACTGGAATATATCCTTTTTCACGAAATGCTTTCTGTGACAATGACTTCCTATGTGCCGAAGTGACTAATCGTCTTTTGACGGAAACATTTAGTATACTTAACTATTTCCGTCAGAGGGAAACAGTTAGTTATACTAAATGCTCCTAAAATGTAAATACTAAGTTCTTATACATCAGGTTTCTAGCACATCTGATGGCATAATTGTTAAAAAACAAGATTTTATGATTGATGACCGAAACGAATAAATTATTTCCAATGCCCTACAATTAAACCAAACTATAATACCTGAATCGATAAGACCATTTCCAAAAGTTCTACCTACAAAACAAACTAAGGCAGAAAGAGTGGCAAATTTAGGATTCTCATTGACACTACAGAGAGAAGAAATAAAAAACTTGAAAAGTTTAAGAGAACTTCAAAACAAGAAACTTTAAAAATCAAACTAATGTTGAATGTTAAATCAAATATTTATAATCTTTGGGTATTTTCTCATTTTCAGATGATTTCATTTTACGATACTTTATGTGCAACTTTTGTTTTAATTTTGAAAACTTTTTGAAACCGTTAGTAACAAAAGCGTTACTAAAATTTTTTATTTTAATTGTTTTTTCAATAATAGGAAAGTTAGAATCATCTGCGGCATAGAATGTTTTAAATAGGAATGTACCGGAATTCCAGCCAGAATTTGTGTCTTTTAGATCAATTCGCTTCTGGCTGGTGATCAAAGTGAACTTTTGTTTTTTAATTCCAGCCAGAAGCGAATTGATCTAAAAGACATAAGTTCAGGCCGGAATTCCGGTACATCCCTAGTTTTAAAGAAGGTCTCATAAATGGTGTCAGAATTTCCCTTGAAGCTAATGTGATCCAAGTGCAAAAGAGATAGCTGATTTTGATAAAAATTTATATTAGTAAGATTAAAATTATTATTATCATCGAAGCGTTTGAGCTCAGTGTCAAAAGTATTGGGAAATAGTCAGAAACGTCATATCTAAAAATGCTTTTTTGAATGTCTTTATTAAAGATATCAGTTGTTATGATATTTTCAATTAGAGACGTTAAGTTTTTTGTTACCCTAGTTGGATGATTAATCAAAGGAACAGTTTCAAAAATTGAGCCATCGAATTCACGCATTATCATACGATTCACATATCACCACACCGTACGTTTATTATACCGTACAATGCCATACCATACAATCCCATACCATACAATGATGATACCATACTATACCGTACGATGATAATACCATACCGTACCATACGATGATACATTTTCTTCCTTTTCTTTACGAAACTTTAAGAAACTTTTTTTTTATAAAAGTTATCACCACAATTTTTCTTTACTCTTTGTATAGTTGAAGCAGTTGACTTAAATTTATTTGCTAAAGTTCAAACAGAAATGTCTGATTATATGTCTAAGGCATCTTAGACATATACTCAGACATATACACTTTTTAAACAAAATCTCGTCAAACAAAAAATTTTTTTTTTCGCTTCCTGATTTCCTTTTGATTGTATCAGTGTCTTTAAATCGATTTACAACGCTTTGCTATGTTCTCACGAGGATTTTCAACAAGAAAACCCAAAATTTTTTCTTGTTTCCTTTTTTTGATTTGATGTCATTTCAATTAAAACAAATTGTTTTGATAACAGTGTTGTTTAAACTTTAAATAAAATTAATGCAATGGTATTTTAAAACAATTAGTTAATTAAAGTAATGTACGGTTTTCATTAACACCATATCAGAACACACGCAGATATTTTCTATTAGGGGAGAGTTGCCTTAATTGGAACACTTAAGGAATATTTATACATTAAACCAGTTACTATTTATTGCATGTACCTGTTACCCAAAGATGACTAAACTATAAAAACATTTATAATTTGATTATACAAACAGACAACCCTACTATACTTTTAACCATAATTTGACTTAATTGATTGCACTGTTATTGGAAATAAATTTGTTTTTTCAAAGTTATCATTTTGTTCCAATCAAGGCAACTGGTTCCCTAAATTGGAACACTTTGATTCCTTTATCAAAACAGGTTACTTTTTTAAAAGAAAAAGTCCAGTAAAATCAACAAAAATTTGTCAAAAATGATTTTCATCTTTACAGTAAAAATTTAAACAGTTAATTCAAAACTTATTATAGGATTAGTATTACCCTGATAAATTTAAAGTTTACAAACAAAAAATCTTTAACTGTTATGACGTTCTCTAAACTTATTGATTAAAAATCACTAAATAAAGTATTATTTTTAAGGGTTTATGGTTGTTACTAAGTATTTTTTTAATTGCAGTCGAACTGTTTTTACAACCCTTTGATTTTATTACTAATTAGGTAAGGAAAGCTTCAATGTTCCAATCAAGGAAACTTTCGACTATTTTGTTATATTATTACAATAACATACTTGCAGCAATTTATAAGATAAGTTTATATTGTTATTTTGCATTTTAAATCCCATCGAATTAAACAAAACAAATGGTATAACCTGTAGCGGCATAGTTTACCCAGCACAACCTATATAGTGTGAACACAAAATTAGATCGTTGAAAAAAAATGACGCAAAAAAAACTTTAAATCAATGGTACAAACGCATTTTATGAGGAATAACTTTCAAAATGTGTCAAAACATAGAAAATAATGCGTTTTACTAAAAAAATGCAAAATATAGCCATAATTCATTTTTTTTTTTTAAATCAATGCAAGTGTTCCAATTAAGGCGCTGTTCCAATTTCGGCAAATCTCCCCTATATGTCATACTTTAAAAAAACAACGAAAGTTCAACTAAAGCTTTCAAATATGACGTCACGTCAAAATGTAAGGCTCTCACACGTTTATAAAATATTAAAAAACAGAAAAAATTAAAAGAAAAAATTACTTAGAATCGCTATGACACTTAAAAATTATTTTATTTGTATATTTATATCTGTTTTTTTGATAAAATAAACTTCAAGTTTCTTTTTTTTATGTTTATTTATCATTTGTAATAAAAATAAGACGCTTTTCGTATTTAAACGTAAGATAACATACGAAGAAAATGTGCATGTAATTTGGAATATTTCAAATTATGTTCTTTTATAAATTATTGTTGGTATTCCAAATTAACAAAGGGACATCTAAACCTAAAACTCTGTTACTTTTACTAACTCTAGAAATATTTGTAAAATCAAAACGAAATCGTAGTCTCGTAAGGTTACTTAATAATTTATTCGATCAAAAAGATGATTTTGAATACATTATTAAATATTTATGAAGGATTACATTCTTATTGAAAAAGTTTTCAAAATTGACGTTTCGTTTTTCTGTAGTTGTCAGCAAAAATACTGTTTTTATTAATCATTTTACTTCATGTGCTATTTGACTTAGTGTTTCCGAAAAAACGACACAAATGGCGCTTATATTGATTGAGATATTTGAGTATTCCAAATTACCTACGATATTCTAAATATGTTGCACTTTCTCTATAATCACACAAACAGGACTGGGGAGAAGTAGGATATTAATTAGTATTTTTTGTTCTACTTCACCCCTTAAAAAACAGTTTTGGGAGTCTTTTTGAAAATGTGGATTTACTACACACATGGAGTCAAAGTGAAGTCTAAATAGAGGGCAAGAAATCTCATTGTTTCTTCTGAGTTCTCACTCTCCCCTCTACTAGAAAAATCACTTTATGATAAAACACGAATAACCAAAGCAAGATAATTATTATTACCCATAAAGAATATTTATAAGTTATTGAACAAAAATGAAGTGACTGGGCGTTTCTAAGAAAAACATTGAATTGCATAAATAACAGATTATATCTTCTTTTTTAAGAGTTTTTTCCAATCCAAATTTTCACTACTCACTTGTGATCTAAGCAAAATATGAGCTAATAAATTTTTTGTTTTAATTCAACTTTTTTCTTGGAGGACCTAACAAACACCTCGAAGTTCTTCAACTTGTAACATGAATCTTTAGCAGTAAGACATGGGTAAAAAGCGTTTTTGTAAAAAGAAATATATCCGTTTTTTCCAAAACTGAGTTTTTTTTAATATTCCGATTTTTTATTGAAAAAGGTACAAAATAAATAATTTATGTTTCTACTTGAAGTCCATAAAATATATAGTAAAATAAACAATTTAACGGACACAGAAAATGAAAAATATTACATTATTAACAGCCAGTAGAACCATGGTTCGCAAAAAAGTTCGCATTTTACTATCAGAAAAATAATAAAATTTCATATTTTAAAAAGTCAAAATGTTTATAAAGCGACCTTTCCATTTCACACTTACCTGGAGCAAAACTTTAATGGTTCGAAGAGAGTGCGAACCAAAATAACTTGGTAACAAAAAGTACACCTGACTGAATGAAAGTTTTATTAAATAGATTTTTACTCTTAACGAGTAAGCATAGATTACAAATATTTTCATATAAAATAGAAGGGGAAAAAAAATGTTCCTATCGATATAAAAATCACTCCAAATAACAAGAAATTCGAAAATAGCTTTGTACTTTTTTTACCGAAACTAAAACTTAGTACAGTTCGAAATGTTAAATAACGATATCGAAAAAGAAAAGAAAAATTAAATGTTTACATTATTTTGGATGGAAGTATGAAAACGAAAAAAAAAAAAAACTTTTACAAGACATTCAATTATTTGTTCTATAATTACTTAAATAAATTATAAACGAAAATAAACTGTAAAATAATAAAAAAGAGAATTTATTAAGAAGTTCTTATTTCTGAAAAAAAAAGTTTAACTTTTAACTTTCACATTTGGATACGTAGGTCCCTAGTCCTTTACGTAGAGCCTCGAAAAAAATTAAAGAGATTTATATATTAAAAACATATAGTAAAAAATGCCAACTGGTAATAAATATAAAAAAATAATTCAGATCTAACTACTTAAAAAAATAAATTTCAAGAGCCATTAATAACTAAAGATTTTGGAGGTGAAAGTAAATCTTGGAACTCCAAAAGAGCTTCCTTCAATGCATGACGTACAGGTTCACTACTGCAAGTAATACATTCCAATATCGTAGGGTATAGACCGATTAAGTCACGCCATAATTGGTCATCAACTATAAATATGTTAAATATAAACACAACTCCGCTACAAAGCGTATTTTTATTAAATGTTAGAAAATGTAAAACTTACTCAAGTTAGGTTTGTTTTCCACCATTTTTTTAATAGAAGCGAGCAAAGTAGCAATAGCTTTTACTGCAAATGACATTTCAAACATTCGTGTCCTATAATAGAAACGACATTTAAAACATCTGTCTTTTATAATAGAAATAACATTTCAAACATTCGTGTCCTATAATTGAAACTTTTGTATCTTTGCTAATATCACAATTACACATTGTCTTTGCTAATATCGCAATTACACAGTACCATCTTTGCTAATATCGCAATTACACAGTACCATCTTGCTAATATCGCAATTACACAGTACCATCTTTGCTAATATCGCAATTACACAGTACTATCTTTGCTAATATCACAATTACTTATTATTATTGTCTTTGCTATTATTATTATTATTATTATTATTATTATTATTATTATTATTATTATTATTAATAATTATTATTGTCTTTGCTAATACCGTAATAACACAGTATCTTTGCTAATACCGCAATAACACAGTATCTTTAGACATATTCTAATAATGCAATAACCTTACTTAGCTAAGAATAAAATTACTATTGATTATAATCTATTATATTATTTAAATAATCTCTTTCTGAAAGTGACTGGATTAAAGTTTGCATTTTTAAATTGAAAGTGAGCAAAATATATTAGTACTGTGCCAGGCTTTATACCCAAGGAATAAGTATATAAGAATATAGTTATAAATAATAAAATAGCTTTTAGCATATTTTATTATTTATAAATATCGTGCAAAGTATTTAATTCTATAATAGTATTACTTTGCATGTCCAACTATGCTTATAATGCATTTTCGGATCTTGTCTAAAAGAGAAAGAGCATCATTAGAAGAACCAGCCCATCTAATGCACAATAGAATGATGCCACCTCCATCTAATACACAATAGAATAATCAGGCAATAGTTAAAGGAGTATGAATGTTTTCCTATGTTTTTGAAAATTGGACCGACAGATGTCATTTTCCAGCTGGCAGGAAAACAAGATTCAACTAAGCACTTTAAAAAAATAGTTTAGAGGGAGTTGAAACAAGCTTTGGAGAACACTTTAGTAAAACTATGGCAGAAACGTTGCCTGGAACACAAGCTGTAGAGTAAAGTTTAATTGGGAATAATGGAGCTCAGCAATAATAAATAAGCATTTGTTTTCAAGAGACTTGTTCTTATGAAAAAAATGAATGATTATGAAAAAATAATTATGATTAGATATAGCAGCTGCACAAGAAAGTGAAAACTATGGAGTAGAATAAGCCTTGACTTGGCCAGAAAATTCAAACCTGATTTCTCGATAAATAGGTGAATCGATGCGTAAGTATACATCCAAGCCAAGCACGTGACTAGAGCCTTTGTGTATCAAATGATAGTAGCCATCAATGTTGAGATCTGAAGAAGAAACAGCAGAAAATCTCACAAAATTATTTTTGTTATTATAGGCATGGATTAAATTAAAGTGAGCATCCCAATGAGTATGGCATCCAAACAATGAGCTATGCAGTTGTCTCATCCTGCTAATTAACTTGAAGTTGTAGCTCAAGGCTCCTTATGTAGCCTCAACAACACACACCAAAGGCATTTTTAGAGTTTTAGAGCTGTACCCTCATTAGGAGATAACAGAAAGAGTTGCACATTTCACTATCTTGATAGTCACTATCAAGGAGGCACAAAAAAAATTCTGAGTAAAGTCAAGAAGATTAAGCATTCATTATCCCAGACAGAAAACAATGTAAAAAATTTACATCTGCATCAGCCTAATAGATGAAGAAGAGGTGCAAGGCTATTCAACAGAATTATTCTGCTTATGCCTAAAGTCTTTGTCTAAGAGTCCTCCTACAAGACAGTTGCTGGGTGCAGTTAACATCTGCCCAAGATAAATACTTTTAACTAGACACTATCCCTAGTCTTTACTCAACCAAGAGCCCCAAGGCAGGGGAATTTTAAATCAGATTTTATTTATCTTAGCCTTTGCCTTAAAAAAGAAAATCCTACAAGGATTTTTTTTTTAAGGCAAAGGCTAAGATAAATAAAATCAGGACATTTTATGTGATCCGAGAATCATGATTCATGATTATAATGATCAATTATCAAGTTCTCATTTGGACAAACCTTTTAGTACCAAAACATTAACTACAACCTAAATTTTAAATACCTTTAAATTGAAATTAACTGAACTTTGTTAAACACTTTTTAGCGAAAAGAAACTCCAAGAATGCAAATCTGAGCTAAAGTAATCCTGCTACTGGTAAAATGTAACCCAGTATAATCTGCTTCATGTCCTGCTGCCTTGTAGGATGCGCTTTTCTAGGCAAAGGCTAGGAGAAGCCAACTCCGACTTAAAACACCCTCTGCCTTTGGGCTCATGGTTGAGTAAAGGATGATATCTTGATAAAAATACTCATCTTGGGCAGATGTTAAACGTATCCAGCTACGGTTTTTTAGAAGGCCTTCTAGGCAAAAACTTTTGGGGTAAACAGATTCTATCTATTAGTGGGGTAAACAGATTTCTATCTGTTGACCAGCTTTGCATCCCTTCTTCATCTATTAGGCTGACATAGATGTATTTATAATACATTGTTTACAGTTTAGAATATTGAATACTGGATCTTCTTGATTCATGGGTTTTGCTTGTGTCTATTTTTATAACTACCCAAATCATTCTATGATCTCCTAATGAGGGTACAGCTCTAAAACTCAGTTTTATGGTTCTGAGGCTGGCTAGTAGCTAGGTTTCCTGAACTCTGCAGTAGCTCTCGGAAAGGCTGATTCCATCAACAGCTGAAAAATATCAAAGTATTAACAGTGCCATGTTGCGCATGGATGGTGTCCCTATTTGTACTTTTGGTATGCACTAAGGCCACATTTGCAGCCCTTTGTTACAGCTTAGGGTTTATTAATAGTAATGAGGCAACTGCTTGGGCTATTAAACATTGTACTGAGTACTATCTATGCTTTGAGTCAAATTCTTTAACAAATTTAAAAATGACTAAAGTACCAAAATCTATAAAACACAAAAAATCATTGTCATCACCAAGTTCTCTAAATCTATAATTCACTAAAATTTGTGGTCTTTGAAGTAACTTTTCTTCTGTTGAGTCTTATCTCTTGCAAAGTTCACTAGATCTACTTGCTCTTTGTAAGACTAATTTGAGTTCAGCTGTCTCATCTTGTGATCTTCGTGCTGATGGTTATCTTACTTCAATTTGTAAAGATTTCAATAGTCACATGCTTGGCCTGGGCATTTACATTTGTAAGAATTCACCAATTTGTCAGGAAACTAGTTTTGAATCCACATACTATTCTTTTATATGCTTTGGTTTAGCACCACTTCACCCTATTGCCTTTCTCTTTGTTCTATATCGTTTCTATATTGTTATATATCATTTTTTATGTAACTTATTGGATTTAGGCTGGCATGTAATCCTTTATTCCTTCTCGATTCCAAGTCAAGCCTCACTTTTCTCCATGGTTTTCCTCTCATTGTGCTGCAACCTTAACCATTACTTTCATTACTATCAGCAAAACAATTCACTAAAAAACAGATGTCTGTTTACTAGTGCTAGAAACAATTGTAAAAAAGTTTTGCCGAATGCCAAAGCCCGCTATTCTCAGGTCAAGATATCTTATATTTTATCTCAAAAAATCTCTCCTGACTTCTAGAGAATTTTTAACAGTATCTATAACAAGGGTAAATCTGTTTTTTTACACCCTTTTTTGTATGGCTCAGAATTTGTCACCTCACCTAAAGACAAAGCTGAATTGTTTGCTAAGAACTTCTCATCAATATAATCTCTTGATTCCACTAGTCATGTTCTACCTGATATAGCTACTTGATATAATCGATTGCATGACATTTGTATCACTCCTGCTTCTGTATCTAAAGTGATTTTCTGCTTAGATACTTCTACAGCTTGTTATATGGACAACATACCTGTTCACACCAGCTCCAGAAAACACTTCAAAAAGAAAATACCTGTTATATTCTTGCAGAAGTGTTCTCTGGTGCTGTTATCTATACTTTCAAAACTATTTAACAAGTGCTTATCAGAGTCTTATAACTTACTTTCTGATCATCAATATGGATTATGATCTTCTTGTTCTACTGCTGATTTGTTAATGGTAATAACTGATAGGTTATTTTGAGCATTAGATGATGTGGAGAGGCTAAGGCTATCGCTCTTAACATTTCTAAAGCCTTTCATAAAGTTTGTCTCCCCAATAAGCTCTCTTCTTATGGTGTATCAAGTAACATCTTTAAAATTATTTAATCCTTCCTTACCAATTGTATTATAAAAGTTGTCCTTGACCGATAGCACTCTTTATCATATCCTGTAACTTCAGGGGTTCCTTAAGGTTCTATCCTTGGCCCTATACTTTTTTTTAAATTTACATTAACAATCTCCAAGAAAATCTCACATCTACGGTGGCATTGTTTGCTGATTACACTACTATTTATTCTTATCTTGATAAAAAGCCAACAGTCTCTGATTGCTTGGAGGGGACATTTGAGCTTAAAAAAGATCTCACTTCTGCTACAGCATGGGGCTCTCAGTGACCAGTGAACTTTCACTCAGATAAAACTTTTTAGAAGATAGTTGTAAAATCTTTTAAAAAGATTTACAGCTAATCGATATTGCAATAATTAAGGTCTTCCTATACTTATGAATGGTAATGTATTTGATGAGTCATCTACCCTTTACCTTCTAGGATTAACTCTTACTTTTGATTTTGCTTGGAAACCATATATCAAATTGATTGCAAAATTAGCATCTGCTAAGGTTGCATCTCTTTATTGTGTTCGCCACTTTCTTACTCCGGATTCTATTCTTTATCTTTATAAATCTTAAATCCATCCTTGTATGGAATACTGATGCCAAATCTGGGACAAATCTTCAAATGATGCCCTTTTTTAAACAATGTGCACTGTAAACATAGTTGGACCAGCTCTTGCAGCCAACCTCCATTCATTATCACATTGTTGTAAAGTTGCTTCTCTTTCTCTTTTCTATAAAAAAAACTATAATGGCCACTGCTTTAAAGAGCTAGCATCTCTTGTACCATCTACTAAAATTCATCTACTAAAATTCACACATTTGTGTAATTTGCTGACACTATTGTAGAAAGAATTCTTTAGAAATGATTACTTAAGCTTTTTTAAAAAATAATATATATATATATTTTTTTTTTCAAAGGGGAGTTAATGTAACTATTATTTGAGCTCACTTATTTTTATAGTTTTTTAGGAGAAACTTATTTTCGTGCCTGCATTTAGAAATCAATTCCGATTTTTTGTTTAATAAACATTCTTGGTTTATATGTGTAATTATTTCAAATATTTCTTGTAGACATAGTATGCATTTTTTGGAAATATTGTTATATGCAGGCACTGTTTTATGGATGGACCAATTCAGTGTAAAATCATCAATAATAAAAGATAAAAATATTGATGATTTTACACTGAATTGGTCCATCCTTAAAACAGTGCCTGCATATAAAAATATTTCCAAAAAATGCATACTATGTCTACAAGAAAAATTTGAAATAATTACACATATAAACCAAGAATGTTTATTAAACAAAAAATCGGAATTGATTTCTAAAAGCAGGCACGAAAATATGTTTTTCCTAAAAAACTATAAAAATAAGTGAGCTCAAATAATAGTTACATTAACTCCCCTTTGAAAAAAAAAATATATATATATATATTATTTTTTAAATAAGCTTAAGTAATCATTTCTAAAGAATTCTTTCTACAATAGTGTCAGCAAATTACACAAATGTGTGAAAAATTGCAGTAGTTAAGACATGTGACTTCCTGTAATTTAATTTTTGGTATAAATTGAAGTTTTATTAATTTGATCATTCATTTCTGATGAGTCTTTATTGATGAAACACAGTGTTAAATGAGAAAAAATTTTGCTAAGTGATTTTCTACTAATTTATATATATATATATATATATATATATATATATATATATATATATATATATATATATATATATATATATATATAAAGTGCTGACTTTTTTTATATCAACCTGGAAGTACTTGTTTCTACTGGCAGTGGTTGTGCCAAGGTTGATTTGTAATTCAGATTTATAAGGTTGACAGTGGTTTAACAACAATTAGAAAAAAAAAAGAGTGGCCTACTTGACTATAGTTGTCCATTGGACCATGAGAAAGAAAATATATTAAAAGTAAAAAACACATAAATATTTAACACACAATACCAATTACTTAATAAAAAAAGATTGAAATTTTTTTTTTAAAGAAGTATAATTACTATGTAAAATGCATCCAAATGCAAAACATAAATATTACCTTGGCAATGGAAACTGGCCATTAAGTCTTTCATCTTTTGAATATTTACAAAGCACACTTTTACATCTTTCCAGCAATGATTGTAAAGCTAACCGTGACAATTCGCTCTCCTCTATGAGTTAATCAAATTTAAAAATATTAGTTTGAAATGCTTTTTAAAAAAAACCATGTAATGATAATAATAAAAGTATTTTAAATTAAGCATAAATTAGAAAAACAAAACAAACTAAAACAAAGAATTAAAAATGTTAAATTTATTATGTTTGTATATATTTATTTATCTTATGACTTCTTTTTTCATATTATTTATTAATTTTATTATCACTTAAAATTTTTTTTTTTTTTACTTATATATAATTATATATTTATACTATATATGCTTATATTATAATATTTATGATTACTTATATATATTTATAATATAATTATAATTTTACATCTTTGTAAATTATTTCCAACCTTTATTATGTGTATCTTTAAAGAAAGAATACTGAAGAAGAGTTTCAAAACATAATTTGGCAAAATCTTCTTTGAAAGGGAATGCTACTGAATCACCTGGAAATAAATACAATCAAGTTTCGATAAAAAAATAAGCAAATAATAAAAATAAACTTAAATTACTACTTTATTAATTTATAAATTATTATTTATAAATATATGTTTTTATATTTTTTTAAATTGAAAATACCATAAAAATACAATGTCACACAAATTAAAAAAGAAAAAAGATTTACAAAAGAATTAAAAATGATTTTTTAAAAAAAGGATACTTTATAGTGTAAATGTTAAATAGGTAAATACTAAATTTCACACAATGTTAAATTAGAGTTTGATAGAATTATATGAATCAATGATATTAATGAATAAATGATAGATTGACAATAATGAATAAATGTTAGAATGATAATAATGAATGAATGATATTAACAAATGAATGATAGAATAAAATTAATAAATGGATGATAGAATGATATTAATGAATAAATGATGAATGATATTAATAAATGATGAATAAATGATGAATGATATTAATAAATGAATGATAAAATGATATTAATAAATGAATGATAAAATGATATTAATGAATGAATGATATTAATAAATGAACGATAAAATGATATTAATGAACGAATCATAGAATGACATTAATGAGTGATAGAATGATATTAATGAATGAATAATAGAATGATATTAATGAACAAATGATATGATATTAAAGAATGATATGAATGAACAAAAACCTTTGCCAAAGAACTATAACAACTGTTTTAGCATTTTTTATGTATTTAAAAAAATTTCAGTTTTAGAGAAAAAGATCCTTATAAGTTATATATTGTAATATTCTTTACATTGTACTAATCAATTCACTGGTTTATATTGTTTGTATTGGTCAATCATTCAGTTTATATCCAGAGGTACTTAGTATAAACCCCATCACTTGTTAGTATTCAACTTTTGACTCTTTTAATCTTGATTGTCAATAATAAAATAAAAAAACTTTTTTCTGCAGACTATGTTATTAGGCTTTTTTTTTTCTTTTTTTTCCTTCTGCAGACTATGTTATTAGGCTTTTTTTTCTTCTTTTTTTTCCTTCTGCAGACTATGTTATTTGACTTCAATGGATCAATATTAAAAGATTGAGATAGATATTGCATTTTAAATATTCTTTCAACCTTTTGATTTCAAGATTCATTACTGATTGACTTGACTTCACACAACCCTTTCACAAACAACTGATTTTACAATCAATCGATCTTTCTATAAATCAAGTATTTTACCATGGGTTTCATTTAAATATATCATAAATCATAACCTTTTTATTTTTCAGAAATACATTCCTTTCGTTTTTTTATCTTCTTTTTACTTAGTGTAAAACTTTGAATAACATTCTTTGAAGACTTTTTAGGTTTTTTTACTTTTATTTTTTACTTATATTAAATATTTAAAACTTTTTATTTATTTTTTATTAAAAAAATTTTTTAAACTATTTATTTATTACTTGTATTAATTATTTAAAACAAATTCTTTACTCTTTTAATCGAGTTTGGATTTAATTGATTTTGCATTTAACCAAACGCTTAAACTAGCACTTACTTATAACACTGTTTCTCGTCACCTTCTTTTTCAACTTTCAGTTTTGAATAAAGTCAAGAAATTGTAAATGTATTTGGACCCCTCTATTTGCTAAGCCTAATCCTATGCCTTATTTATTCGAACCATATATACAGTTAACAACCTATTACAACAAACTATTAAAGATATTAATATTATATTATATTATAATATACTACAACAGCAAAATGTTTTACCTAGAGTAATATACAGTCAAATAAGTTTTTATCAACTGTTTCATGATTTAATATATTTTGATTTGATAACATTTCAATAATTGGCTAAGAAATGAAAAACTTTTTTTTCAACGTCAACACCAGCACAAGTGCTAAATGTGCTTACTAGTCAATATTTAAATATAACTAGTTACTTACTGTCAAACATATCAGTTGTTGCAGAATGTATAGATCCTTTATTAAGAAGTTTCATAAGCCGATCAACAAACACCTTAGGCAGAGACGATGCAAATGGTAGTATATCTTGTCTAATCAGCTTGACAAGCTTTATGTCAATTTGTTCATCTAATCTGTGTTCAGCTAGAGTTTGAGAATCAGGTGGCGGGCTTAAAAAAAATTTTAAAAGCATTAATTTAAATAATCAAAAAACAATTGAACAACAACAAAAAAACCCAGTGAATCCAGATTTTACCACTAAAACTATAAGTCTGTGTCAATTCTTATGTGACCATATGGTATGCTAAGAAATTCACAAAGTCAACCACACCTTAGAGTGCACCTAATAGCACTTTGTGATAATTGTTCTATTACATTAAAATAACAAAGACAAAACATTCAAAAAATTCAAAATTCAAAATAAAATAAAAAAAAAATAATAATAATAATTTGGAAAATCAAAAGGACAAAATTTGACAGCAAGCTCTGAGGGTAGAACAAAGAAAAAAAAAAAGAAAAGGAAACTTGCAATCATGGCTGCATAAGAAACCGTTTCAATGATTTCTGCATAAGAAACCATTAGCAACCTTATTGTTTTCAATAGACACAACTGTCATCCTTTTGGATAAAGTTCATTAACTTCCCAAACTTAATCGACTTTAGATTCAGGCGACTGAATAAAAGAATCAAAAAAATAAAAAAATATAAAGAAATATAATACAAATTGTATACCTTAAGGAAAAAAGAAAATCATCAAAAGCACTTGCCATACTCATCCACATGTCTTGAAAATCATCATCTGTATTTTTCAAATTAAAAACAAAGACATTTATAATGATGAGAAAATCTGTTAATCATATAAAAACCTTATTTCACAATAATTTACCTTTGTTATTCAAATGAACTTTTAAACCACTCTTTAAAACGTTGAGAAGCAATTCAATGGACAACTTCCAGGTGGATTGAGCTGGACACGCATATTTTAATTTTAAAGGTAAATGAAGTGTCTAATGTAAAAAATAAAATATTATAAGAATATAATTATAATATATTTTTTTCATATGTATTCATATATAATATACATATAAAACAATATACATTTTTATGTAAAATGATATTTCACCTCCCTAAGGCTAAGGAAGGCCATTACAGATGAGAAGGCTACTAAATTACAGATGAGAAGACTACTAAATTACAGATGAGAAGACTAAATTGTGATTACAACCCACTCTGAACAATAAAACTCTGAAACTTGAACCTTTATGAACAAGGCTTGTGTCAGGTCAGGAGTATGTTCTTCATGATCATCCTGCTACTGGTAACATGTAACCCAGTGCAATAATGTTCTGCTGCCTTGCAGGATTTGCTTTCCAGCAAAGGCTGGAAGGAGTGTTCTTCCTGTCATCAGTATTATCTTATATCAGTCATGCCTATAGTAATTTTTTTTTTTTTTTTCATATAGTTGGATGTGCCTTAGTTAATGTATTAGCTCACCTTTAATCTACTTTATATGTATGTTTGTGTTCTGTCTGAACCTCTGGCGCAGTGTTCGCTCACCCGTAAGTTACTTTATGTTCTTTATGTATGTCTGTGTTCTGTCTGAACCTCTGGCGCGGTGTTCGCTCACCCGTAAGTTACTTTATGTTCTTTATGTATGTCTGTGTTCTGTCTGAACCTCTGGCGGGGTGTTCGCTCACCCGTAAGTTACTTTATGTTTATGTTTATGTTTTTTATGTTTTTTTATGTATGTTTGTGTTGTCTGAATCTCTGGCGCGGTGTTCGCTCACCCGTAAGTTACTTTATGTTTTTTATGTATGTTTGTGTTCTGTCTGAACCTCTGGCGTGGTGTTGACTCACTCGTAAGTTGATTTATGTTTGTTTGTGTTCTGTTTATACTCTAATGCAGTGTGAGCTCAGTAACTAACTACTTACTCCAACTACAAAACCTACACTCACCTTAGACTCCTGTATTTTGTTAGATGCAGTGTTTTTTCTAATGCACTTCCAAAATGTCATGCCTGGTTTTCTCAAAGTACTGTTGCGGGAAGTAACTCTTTTTAACTACTCCAGGTCAGGTCAGGATAATCAAGATCAATCTTGCTACTGGTATCACGTAACCCAGTACCACCTGCCACAAGCCCTGCTGCCTTGCAGAGTGTGCTCTTTTTAGGCAAAGGCTAGAAGAAATAAACTCCGACTAAAAATTCCCCTACCTTGGTTGAGTAAAGGCTAGAGATGGTGTCTCGATAAAAACACTCATCTTGGGCAGATGTTAACTGCATCCAGCTAAACATCCCCTGCCTTGGGGCTCTTGGTTGAGTAAAGGCTAGAGATGGTGTCTCGATAAAAATACTCATCTTGGGCAGATGTTAACTGCATCCAGCTACTGTCTTGTAGAAAGCCTCCAAGGCAAAGACTTTAGGGGTAAGCAGAAAAATTCTGCTAACCAGCCTCAAACCCCTTCTTCATCTATTAGGCTGGCGTAGATGTAACCTGTGTTACATTGTTTCCTGCCTAGAATGATGAATGCTGGATCTCCTTGACTTTAATAAATAACTTATAAATATTTATAACAATAATCATAATCATTTCTTTTATCTTTTCCACATTCTCTTCACTATTTGATTGCTTTTTTTTTACTTATTTTTTATTCTTAGATGTAATATTTCTTATGTGTCAACTTAAAGCTTGCTGGTAAATTTAATGAAAAACTGAACCAATAATTTTTTTTATTGTGTCACTGCACACAATTAGTAACTTTAAAATAATATTTTTCAAAGTTGTAATTTAGGATACATTATGTGGCCTCATGCACCTCATTATGCCTCAACAATTATTGACAATTATTGAATCAACTTACAGTTTTAAATATACCAAAGTATGTTAGAAACTTTTTCAGGTACCAAATGACAACAAAAAATTGTTTTAAAATTTAGGAAAAAATTAAGCCTCTCCAAACATTTTGATTGTGATAAAACACAAGATTATATGATATATAATTATGGGAAAAAGAATTTGAAAACACAGATATTAAAAACACAAATACACAGAAGACCATGCAAAAAAAAAAAAAAAAAGTAAAAAAGTAATGGAACAAATGAACTTATGATGAACTAGATTCGAGATAAAAATAAATAAATAATTAAGACTGTAGTGCTAAATAGTTATATTATCCCCTGCCACTCAAGAACACGTTAAGTGCAAAAACTTGATTAAGTTGAAAAACTATGATTCTTTAAAAGATTTAGCACCTCCAAAAAAATCAAGGAAACCTTATATAAAGGATATTTAGTCCTAAAGTCAAAACAAGCATGTAATATATCTGTGGCGGAATAATAAACAGTCTATTTTTCTGCACTTAAGGTGTTCTTGATTATAGGGCAGTGTAATAATAAAAATCTTATTTTAATTTAACTTTAGAAAACCTCAAATCTAAAAAATCCAATATAAAAACAAACAAATAATAGTAATAGTAATAAATAATTTTTGACAATTAAAATTATGACAATAAAAATACTATAGAGAAGTTAAAAAAAAAAAAATCAACAAACCTTAATAATATTCTTTAAGACATTTCCTTTAACAACTGTGACTTTAGCATAGCTTATTTCATAAAGAGTTTGCACTAATTTCATACTATGTTCTGCTAAAGGTACATAGTTCATAACAACCCACTCACCAGCACGACCACGAATTTGTGTATAACTTTCATTATCCTGTGTCTCCACTTTTGGTGGACAGCAAGCGAACTCTATAAAATGTAACAGCAATGTGAACACTGTTGGGTACATTGGTAGATTATCATTATGGTCCAATATGCTCTTATTATTTAGCTGGGGAACCTCAGCAAGCAAAGTACTTATTGCTTGGAGAACTGATTTCTGTAACGGTGAAAGTGTTGTTTCATGATGAAATGCTGGAAGAAGAAAGGGCGACGTGTCAGAATGCAGAGGCATTGATACAGCTCGCTCTAATACTTTGCCTAATCTCTCTAAATCACCGATTCCAAAGCGTCCATAAATTCTTCCAAGTAAAGGAGGAAAAATATTAACCAAAGCAGTCAAAAAAGCTTGGGAAGGATACACAGTCTTATTTGAGATTTTGCCTGAGCTATCTTTTGAGTTTCTAACAAATGAAGATACATCCATACAGTATGTACCGATGTTTTGCCACACTCTCCAAGCATTTATCCATAAATCGAGCTCTTGTTCAGTAATGTTCAAAAAAGGTATCTTCCCTTCTTCATGCTCCTCCATGTTATTTTTCACAATTTCTTGAAAACTTTTAAGAGAATTTAAAGCAACTTCTGCATTTTTACTTAATGCACTACCTTCAATAATCTCCAACAACAAAGCCCATGCTCGAGGATAATCACTTAACTTTCTTAAAACATGCTCTCTGTTGCTGAACACCCGTGATACACCTGCTAGGGATAAAACGCAAGTTTCTGCCCATTGTTTTTCAGCTGTGTCACGTGAATGATGAATAAGTATATTACCAGGTAACGTTGTGTTATCAGATGGAGGGGGGCAGTCAGCAGCGGCAGAAGACATGGCTTTTACTTGTTGCAAAAGAGGAAATAAAACCTAGATGTGGTAAAATTGAAACATTTATAAACTTACTATAAAGATTAAAATTAAACTATACCTGGTTTTACTTTCAAAATTAAACTTTCAAAAATTCAACTTACTTTCCATAAAACAGAGTACCATGTTGCATTTTCAAGCAACCCACCATGTGCAGATATGGTTGAAAAGAGTGTTTGTCCAGCACTTTTGCGAACAGCAGGCCGAGGATCAACACACAGTTCCCCCAGCTTACTATATAAACTCATCCAAGCAGAGTCAAAAGGAGACACAGCATTATCAAGAGATGGATACAAATCTTTGTTTTGTATAGGGCTTATGAGGCCATTAGCTTCTTTATGCTGTGTTAACTCAGGCTGGCATATCACATACTTTTCCAGCTCATGTTTTAGAGAAGCACGATTTTGGTATAGAAAATCTGATAGATTCCACTAAATATATAATTATATATATATATATATATATATATATATATATATATATATATATATATATATATATATATATATATATATATATATATATATTACATAACATATCTAGAAGTAAAATTTGTAATACATTCATTGAAGTAACTTAAGATTTTTGTTAAAATTGATTTTTAGCAATAACAAAATTTTAAAACAATAATATTGTCAAAAGTTGTTATAAGTTTACTATTTTCTTGCAGTATTGTTTAACTTTTTTTTTAATGGCAAAAAAAAACTTAATACATACACATATCATTTTTAAAGCACTCTGATTTCTAGAAAATTGTTGCCAGAAGTCAGTGTACACTTTCATATTTATTAATGAAAATTAATAAATAGGTTTTACTTTCACTGGTAAAATTTTTAATTAAAAAAAAACAAGCATTTCAGATATATGATGCCATCAACAACTTAACACTGATAATAAAAACTAATTTACAATATAAATACAGGGATCCCACTATTAAAACTGAGGCTAAAAGTAAGGATTTTAAGGAGATTTAAGGAGATATTTTCCTGATATTTAAGGAGATTTAGTCGCAAACAACAATTATTTAAAAGAAAAAGGAGAATTAAGGAGAAAACGATTACATTAAAAGCAGAATTTTAATTTTTTCAATAAATTTTAAATATAAACAAGAAATTATTATAAATATACTATTTTACATATATATATATATATAAATATATATATATATATATATATATATATATATATATATATATATATATATATATATATATATATATATATATATATATATATATATAATAAAAATATAGGTTTGCAAACTATCAAATAACTATATATTATTTTCTTTATTAACAGGTCAACAATTTATGTTTTCTAAAATCTCTATGAAAATACTTTTGAGACCAAGGTTGACATACTTTTGAATAATTTTTTTTTGACAATATTAGGGATTTTACCCTTTGGATTCAATTACTAAAGATTTGAACCCAAATATCTTAAAAACTTGACGTGATTGTTAAAAATGAGGTGCATATTTGAAATCAAAATGAGAAATGCTATAGAAAAAAACAAATTGTTTGCTCGGCACCAGAAACATTTTTTGTTGTTGCTGACTTGTGTAATCCATTCATTTCAATAAAATTTCCTAAAGAGCAAATTATAGAGAGCAGTCAAATTTTAACCTTTTTAAAGGTTATTTTAGGACACTAAAGGAAGTTTTTCTTTTTTTAAGGATATTTTAGGTTTTTAAGGAGTGGGAACCCTGAAATATGTAGTTATACAATCAATAAACTTTAGTATAAAGTATATATAGTATAGTAAAATACAGAGAGTTATAAAGTATAGGAACCACAACTTAGGAATATAGGTCTGGTAAAATTATGATGAAGATATGGATTGCATTATCATAGTTTATGAGTGTTTCACAGGAAGACGTGCAATCGCACATCTTTATATGACCATGCATGGACGATTTTTGTTTTGCTGACTTGGCCATGGCTATGAAATGTTTGAAAACTTTTGCTTTTTTAAAAATGGTTCTTAAAAACAAAAATAAACTAAATAAAAATGAAAACAAAAACTATAAACTGAAACAAGAAAATAAATCTTAACCTAAGACAAAATAAACAAAAGTAAAAAAGTAAGCTATAAAACCAAATTTTTATCTTTTAAATTTAAAAGCGGTTCATAAAGATCAAAGTTTCTAAGTTGATTATTACAAACTGATTTATAAACAAAATTTTTAATAATTTTGTTATTAAAAATTTTGTTTATAAATCTATAGCAAGAATGAAAAGGCTGGTGTGGGGTTTACAGCATAACATTTTATCAAAAAATTTAATGCTGTTGATATAAATCACTAAAACTTAAGATTTTTCTCCTCGGTTTTTTTTTTGTACTGTTTTTGTTTTTTTAAGATAACTCTTATTTCAATCAACGAAATTTGATACAAGCGAGGGAACAAAATATTTAAAAAAAATTAACATAAATAAAACATTTACAACATGCAATCTATTTGAGAATTTTATACGCTAATATCAAGAAAGAACAAATTTTTATCTATGTTTACAAAAATGTTTTACACAAATTATACAATTTCTTTTCAATATGGCAAGGGAGCAAATAATTTTTTATCTATTTTTACAATATATTTATATATTTATAAACAAGTTTATATTGTAAATTAACAAAAAGTTATAAGCAATTATAGCAATTAAAAAAATCTAAAATATACAGCTAAATTCTCTATCATCACTAGATTTTTTTTTTTTGCTAAAATCTTATACTTGTTCATCGGAATCCAATGATTCTTTATTCGATGTTATTATTAATAATAATTATTATTCAAAGCTAATTTGCCTAACACTTTGGAAAAAATTATGGAAATTTAATAAAGCTCATTTTCCAAACATTTTGCAATTAGATGAGTTATGCTTTTGTTTATTGTCATCTAAAACCGCAGTTCCTGGACAATGACACTGTTTTCAAGGTAAGTAGAAAAAGGGGGAGGGGGCACATATTTTACATAATATGGTGTGCTAATTGTTCAGGTTAGAATTTATTTTCTTGTTTCAGTTTTACAGTTTTTGTTTTCACTTTTATTTAGTTTACTTTTTTTTTTAAGCGCCATTTTTAAAACGTGCAAAAACTATAAAACTATTTAAAACCAGTGGCCAAGTCAGCAAAACATGTACATGTGTGGTCATATAAAGTCTTTCTGCGAAACACTGTTTATGGTATGTGGTTGGAGGTGTAAAGATCTTGATCACTGAGGTTAACTAAAGGGACTAAGTTTAAAAAAGTTTCTATATGAGGTTCTGAAATCCTTTATTTATGTCCTAAAAAATTACACTTTATTTATGTCCTAAAAAATTAACACTTTGGGTTAGTATTATTTGACAAAACTTTTTAAAAATGGTGTCAATTGCCACTAGGTCACAACAAAACTGAAATATTTTTAGTTGTTTAATTTATATTTAAATAAATGGAACCTTGTGCAGTATTAAAAAGGACTTTTTTTGAAAGTATGAAAATTTGTCAAAGGCTTTCAAACAAAAAATTTTTTGTATTAGGTTTAGTACCAGTGACCACAGTTGTTATATATTAGTGACAATTCATAAATTATTTCATAATTTTTTTTTTTTTTTTTTTTTTTTTTTTATATAACTTTTTTTCTCACTTTTATTCATTTTTCAGACAATTTCAATTACTCAATTAATTATATAATATCTTAAAATTGAATGTTAAAAAAAACAAAACCTTATGAAAAAAAATTCTTTTACAAGAATGAGATTTGTTAGAAACAACAAAAGAAGCTTGCTTGAGCAGTGACAATGGTAGTATTTTTAGAAAATAAAAAAATAAAAGCATAGAACAAAATCAAACTTTTCTATTTTCTCAGTTTCAATTTTATTTAAAAAGCTTTCAAAATTATCTTATTGCCATTGAAATTAATTAATTCTATTATCTCCAGCAACTCTATTTTTGAAAAATTTAACGCTTGAACTGTTGAATTCCACAACGTGATATTTGTTACCATGTTGTTGCTGACCACAACAAACAAGCTCATTTAGGATATTAATATTAACATCTCCAGGACCAGTATCAACAGCTAAAACTCAAAGTTCTTTTTTATTTGATTAGGTGAAATAAATTTTTTTTTCTTATAAAAATACTATTTTAGTCAGATTTTTTGGCATTTTAGACCAAAGTGCAATGATTAGATCCCTAACTAAAAAGACATAACTTTGCATTTTATTGATATTTGTTATTAGCAGGGATGCAGAGTCCCAAAAGGAATCCGCCTTTATATCTCTACTTTTTCCAAGTCTGTAGTGTCCAGAAGCTCTAAACATGTTTGTTGACTTATGATCTGCTATAAGAAAAAAATTCATGAGATTTAATGACTTGAAACTTATTGTTTTTAGGCCCGGAGCCCTGGCCACCATTATACTTAAGAACTCTGGGTTCAAAAAATGATTGTTCCTCTAACCTAAAAGTCTTAATTTTTTTCCTATTAGTAGTCCATAAACTTATTTATATTTTTAGAGCTCTTGGATACCAAAAATTAGGATGAAGTTATCTTTTTTGTGACTTTTAAATCCGGAGTCTTTTTTGGAACTCCGCATCTCTGGTTATTAGTTTAAGATGAATTTTAAATTTTGTTTTTACTGGATGTAAAGTGCAGCAGATTATACATTCTCTATTTTTATCCATAAAAAAATAGATATAAGGAAAGTCATCTTAAAACTTGATCAAAAAGATCAGCCATTAAACGAGAGATATTTTTTTTTGGAGTTATTACTTTATTGGTGCATTCAAGAAATAAGAAAATCTTATTTCTAAAAGTTCTAAAAAGAAGTTGTGGTGGGTAAGATTTTAACAGTGCTAAGAATAAGGCTAAGGGTTTTATTTAAAAATAAATTTTAACCATAAAGATACACAAACATAATTTACAAATCTTTTTTAAGATTGATAAACTTTTATTATTTTAAATAGATTTGATTATTAGTTAACTTTAATGTTCCAACATTTTCAATAATTTATTTTCATATTATATTTAATTATTCTATTTTATCGAAAAAATTAACAGGTAATTTTATTTTTTTATTGCTGATTATATTTGCAAAATACAATAGTTTCTAAAAATTAGAGGATAAAAACTGCAACAGTAAAATAAAACTTATACAAAGAAGACAGTTGGAACTGTCTTTTGGAACCTTAAATTCCCTGTCAATTTATATTTCCTTAAATTGCTTAAAATAGTTTGCAATTTTAGTATTATAAAAATCTTTTAAATTTATAATAAATAACTTGTACTTAATACTTCAACTTCATTGTTAGTTATTAGATATTAGATATGGTTCTGCTATTCTGTGAAATAGACTTTTTCTTTTAAAATAAGTAATTTCTAAGCATTCATGCGTTTCCTAGTCAGGATTCCCACTATTAAAACTAAGGCTAAAATTAAGGATTTTAAGGAGCTTTAAGGAGATATTTTCCTAATTTTTAAGGAGATTTGGTTGCGAACGACATTTTTTTGAAAGAAAAAGTAAGAATAATTAAGGAGAAAACGATTACATTAAAACATAATCTTACTTTTTTTAATTAATTTTAAATATAAACAGAGAAATTATTTTATATATATATATATATATATATATATATATATTTATATATATATATATATATATATATATATATATATATATATATATATATATATATATATATATATATATATATATATATATATATATATAACAAAAATAGGTTTGAAAACTATCAAAAATCTATATATTATCTTCTCAATTAACAAGTATAATCCATTCACTTTAAAATTTTTTTCTAGATAAACAAAAAAAAAAAAGAAGAAATTAAGGAGAGCAGTCAAATTTCAACTTTTTTTAAGGTTATTTAAGGACATTTAAAAAGGTTTTTATTTTTTAAGGATATTTAAGGTTTTTAAGGTGTGGGAAACCTGCTAGTGTTGTAGCAGTCTTTTTATTTTAATTTTCAACTTTTTTTATTTCAAGCTTTGTTCTAAATGTTTATTTAGCTTCATTTTAAGTCTGTAAAATATATCTTTATGTTTTTAAGTTATGAAGTATATATATTTATGCTTTTAAGTTATGAAGTATATATATTTATGTTTTTAAGTTATGAAATTAAGACTTGTTTTTTTAGGCGCTGATTTAGTGAAAAGAAAGTTGCATTTTGTTAGAGAATTTAAAGTTGGTATTTACTTTTGACATTTGTTTGAATCAAGTTTTGATACATGTTAGTTCATTAAAATTTTAATTAAATCTATTCAAGTACTTTAGTATTGTAATTATTAATTTTTTTTTCTAAGAGGTTGATGATAAAGATGACAAGCTAGCAAGTCACTATTTAAATATAATTTTAAACTTAGAAATAAATTTATTATTAATAAATAGAATAATAAATTTATGTTTTAAATTTAATTATAATATTTATTAGTATATTTATTTTATTATTTATATTAATTTGTATCCCTATCAATGATTGTATAGGGATTTGAATTATATGGGGTGAGGTTTAATTTGTGACATTTAAAGTTTTTAGTTTATTAATACTTATTTTAGTTCTTCAAGAGATAATAAACAATAGAGATAACAAACAATAGAGATAATAGAGATAACAAACAGAGAGATAATAGAAATAATAAACAGGTTTAACTATTATGTAAACTTTATTATTTTGTTATTTTAAAAATATATTTAAATCTTTATGAATTTAATAAAATAAAAAAAGTAATAATAAAAGATTATCTAGAGACTTTTGTAAACTTTATTATTTTATGACATTATTTAGACAAAGAAATATCAGTCATTATTTTTTTAATTTGCTTTTTAATTTTTAGAGATAAACTATTTTAAGTTAATTTGTTCATTTAATTGGACTATTTTATACTAGTCTTTACTTTATTTATTTAGAAATTTAAACAATATTTTCTGGTTTATTTTGAGCTTTTCAAAATAATAAATTACAAAGGTTTTGATAGATGTTTCTATTAGTAAACAGGTACTTCTTAATCAAATTTAGCCAGCTCCAAGAGATTCTATTTTATATTTAGTACTAAAAATTTGTTAGTTTCTTTCCCCATTCACCTATTCAATCATGACCAATAATAGTCAAGATAAAATATTTGATATGCTTGGTGTATATCTTAAAACATGTTTAAAAACAAGAATATTTTTTACTTAGTTTTTAAAACTGACTTATGTTAAACGAATGTTTAATTATGTATAACTTATTTTTTATTAAGACCTGAATATAAAAACTTTTTAAAATCTGTACTCAAAGTGTTTACAATGGTAGTCTTTCATGCTATAAACAACCTAAGGAGTAAGATGTTTTAATTGTTATCATTTTTTGCCATTCAATGTTATATATTTGTTTCATTTTTATATTTATTTATTTGTGCTGAGAGTTTTTGTTAAATAGAAGCTTCTGTTAAAAGAATTTAATTTGTGCCATGTGTTATTTATTTTTTTTAGTTTTACTTTTGGCATTATTTAGTTGGTCTACTGTAAATACATAGCTTTTATTTATTAAAGATTGTGACTTTAAACTTATATTATTAATCATAGCTTGAACATTCAACTATTCAACTATTAGAGTATCAAATAAAAAAAATATTTGAATACTCAAATAGCTTCAAAAATCAAAAATAATAATTTAACAAAAGAATAATAATTCAATAAATAAAGCGATCAATAATTAATTTTGAATGGTTCTGTTATTCTTTTAAATAACTTTTTTTTTTTAAATATCTTTAAAAAAATCAAAATTAAATATTTCAAAATTTCAACTTGTTCTAATTTTTGTTTTAATTAAATCTTGTGTTTTATTTTTTTAACCCTAAAATTATTTTTAACTTTGTGTTATTTTTTTTGTTGAGAATGCTCTTTCAGAAGCTGTTGAGGTTGGCCAAATTGTTATTTTGAAAGATTTGACAAAAGATTATCATGATGTAAAGAAACAAAAGTACATTTTTATGAAAAAATGTTCTTTTGTTTCCAAATAGATTAGATAAATAAATGAATTTGTATTATATTTCAGATAACATCAAGTTAAACTGATATTATTGATTTATTTACAAATAATCTGTATTACAGATTGCTTACTGCTAGATTTTAATGCTAGTCAATTATTAATCTACTTTAAAATTTTATTTTTAAAAATTAAATTTTCAAAATGGCATTGTAATCAACATAATAAAATAATATTTTTAAAATCAGACTAATGATGGTATAATAAAACATGAATAAGAAAAACAGTTTTTGGAGGATGACAAACCATGATAAAAAAAATGAAAACAGGAAATTACTTTTCAAAATCACTCTCAACAGTAAAATAATGAGCCTGTAAATAATGAGTGCATACACTCCAGGTAAATTACAAATGGAGACACTTTTCAGCACAGTACCAACCAGAGACGTGGTAGGTTAAAATTCTTACAAAACAAGTGCTCTACCATTACACAACTACTATTTCTTAATTTGGTTAGTATTGTATGTGTTTACACTTAAATTTCTATATATTAAAAACACTTAAAGTTATATTTAAAAAAACATTTTAAATTAACAAAAAAGAAACAAACCAACAATCCAACTGCTGTTAAACTAATATTAATCTCATTCTGCTGCAAACCAAACTTGCCAATAACTTCAACTAACACATGTACACACCAACAAGGTATAATTGGTAGAAAGTCTGTGACTACTAACTGAAGACTTTGAAAGCCTAATCTTATGATTGCTTCACTATAAATAAAAACAAAAAACTAAAAATCTTTTTAATTATACTATTTTTTAATTGTAAATAAATTATTAAAATCAAACATATTATATATTAATTTCTCTTTACTATAGTTATTAACTTACAGCAATCAATTATTTGTTATAAATTAACAGTGAAGTAAATTTAAAGTATTAAATAATTTATTATTATTAACTTAGACTTTTTTTAAAATAAATTAAAAACTTACTTTTGCTGATTAGTAGCAGAACCTATAATTCTGAGTATAACTGGCCAAGCAGCACCTAACTTAGGAGCACATTCTTGCAAAATATTTAAAACACACTCAAACTGTAGCTGACGTACACCACTATAACTTATTAAAGCCATTTCTTGAAGTGGATATAAAATTGTTAATTGCAATGGCTAAAAACAAAATAACTTTTTAAATATTTTACTTAGCTTAGTGTATTGAGCACATACAAACCTAAGTACATATAATGGTTAGAAGCCTTAGTGTATATAATGGATAAAAACCTTATTGTATACAATGAATACAAACCTTTCACAAAGTTTTTTTCCTTGATGTGATTGCTCACAATATCTTTTTTTTTTAATAAATTTTTTAACATTTTTAAATAAAGGCATCTTAAATCTTTTATTGACAAAACTAAAAAGTTAAATATACTTAATTAAGCCTTTAAAACATTAAATAAGTTGATATTTACAACTTCTATAAGCAATCAATTTTCCTAGCACAATGCACTTTTGATTTTTTAAAATTTTTATTTTTAAGAATCTTACAAAGCTTTAAAATCAGATTTTTTCATTTTTCTTAAAAAAAATCAAGTTTGCCATCATTGATATTTGAACTTATTTTTCAAAGAAAATTATGCATATATACTAATCTTGCAGAGAATGTAAATTTGCGTGTATAAATATGTCTTATATTACTATTTTATGATTTTGAGTATAGCATACTGATTTCTACTGTTTACAAATACTAAATTAAATATTAAAAAGACCTTATCATGAACTAATCATGCAACTTTGTCTTTCTTAGCAAATTAAAGTTTCTTAGCAACTTGAAGTTTCTTAGCAACTTGAAGTTTCTTAGCAACTTCAAGTTTCTTAGTTTCTTAGCCATTTTTTATACACTTCTTAGCCAATACTTTATTTACATGCATCTTTTTCAAATTTTTTACTGTGATTCAATTTTTAGATTAAAGATGTTAAAAAAACTTTGTGGAAAAACTAATATATAATTAAATTTAAAATTAAAATTAAAATTTAACAACAATTAATTTGTTAAATAATTAATTTCTTTCTTTTCTCTATATTTATATAAATAAAAATATTTTAATAGTTTTTTTAATTATTTCTTGAAAATGACGACTTTGCAAATAATGCTTTTACTTGCTTTATAGTAAAAAAGTAAAATGTACATATGAGTATTTTTGATGCAGTGTTATAAGTTATAGCATGTGTACAAGAAATAGTTACATCAGCTTTATATAATTAACAGGTTTTATTTAAAAAAAAAAAGATAGAAAAGGTCAAAAAAAAACTGAGAAAAAAAAAATCTAACTATTTTAAATTTTAATAAGGTTTTTATTCAAAATTCTTTCTAAATTATAAGGAAATTTCTATATTCACTTTTTTGATATCACGCAACCTGTTAATTATATAAAGCTGTAACTATTATCAAATATTATTTTTCTAAACTATTATTTTTTACAAAATTTTAAATCTAAAATATAAACGAAGACATTGCAAGAGTTATATTGCTTCAAACATTTAAGTTTTTTTTAATTATAAAAAATAAACTCTTTATAAGACATCGTTTAAAGTTTCTAACAACTAATATTTTTTCTTTTTTTTTGTTAATAAAATCAATTATTTACAAACAAACAAACAAAAAAATCATATTAAAAGTGGTGCTTATGTAAAATAAAATTTAATGTGTACTACTTTTTAGCTAATAGTTTACACTTTAAAACAACTGACTTTTGTATGTTTTAATATTCTTTAACTAGCAATTTACAAATTGTTTTTTACAAATAAAAAATAACTAAAACAAATTTAAAAATAAAAAAATATTTTTACTAGATTTTCAGCTAGTGAAGGAACATGTTCATAAAAAACTGCCATTTTAATAAGTTCAGTGAGAGCATCAGCTCCCCATTCTCTAAGTCGTGCATGAGGATGTTGCGAGACCTAGATAAAAATAATAACAACAAAAATATTATTAAACTTATTAAAAAAGTTAATATTTGGGTCAACCAATAAAATGAACAAAAACTCCTAAAAATTCAAAATTTAAATTGTTTATAATTTTAAATAATAAAAAAAAAATAATAATTTATATTGTAAAATACATATCAGTTTGGCAGATCAATTATTTAATTACCTTGCTGATAATTAGTTAATATTGCAATTAGTTAAAAGAAAAACTAAAAACCTCTAATAAATGAGCTGTAAGAGGTTTCCATAACACATGTAGTCGATTAAGATTTACAAGACCAGTTTCTAACATCTTTGCAACTCCGAACAAACTTGGCTCCTTAAAAAAAAATCAAAAGTTTAAACCTGATAATTTAAATGTTAATTTTATTATTTATTTTTACCTTATTATTGGTGGCACTTTCCATGTCTTCCATAGATAAACGACACAATGCATCCACTAAATGATGCAATCCAACATCATCTAAATATTGTGAACTTTCAAATAGTCGAGATAGCATTGATGACAAAACTGGAAGGTCTGAATTTAAAGCTTGTGGTATGTCCTGTAAAGCATATTGAAAAAAATATAATTAGAAAATAAATTTGGTGTTAAAAAACATTCACAAATTTAACTATATTTTAAATAAAACATTCTTAAACACTTTGGTACATATTAGGAGCTATTCTAGACTTTTCTCGATCTGTGGGGCCTTTAGTACAAACATCAACTGAGGGTTGGGTTTTGACAAGACCTTTATGTATGAAAAAACAAAAACAAAAAGATAAATGATCATGATGATCACTCTTCTACTGATAACATGTAATCCGATGCAATCTGCTCCATGTCCTAATACCTTGTATCATTCTTTTTCTAATCAAAGATTAATAAAATTGTACTTCCTGTTATCAATACTAAATAAGATCTGCCATGTCTATAGTGGTATCTATTATTGTATATTACATAGTTTGAGGTTTCTTAGTTAATGTGTTAACTCGCTCTTAATTTTCACTTGCTTTTCATTTCCAATATGATTACTTTTACTTGCGAACATTGTGTTAGCAAATAAAAGTAATCATATTGGGCAGATATTAACTGCAGCTACTGTTTTATAGATTGCCTCTTAGGCAAAGACTTTAGGGGTAATCAGAATTAACCTATTGATTAGTCTTGCACCTCTTCTTTATCTATTAAGCTGACATAGATGTAAATCTGTCATACATTGTTTCCTCTCAAAAATGGCAGATGCTTGATCTTATTGAATCTATTCTTTTTCTAGTGCCTCTGATAATGCTTATGCAACTCTTGTTATCATCTAATAAAAGGCACAGCTCTAAAACTTAATTAAATGGTTCTGAGGCCAGCTGGTGGTAAGGTTTCCTCAACTCTGTGTAGCTCTTAAAATTAATGTAGCTGTCAAAGAGGCTGATTCCATTAACAATGTAAGACACCAGTGTATTAACAGTGTCATGTTGTGTATAGATATTGCCTCTATTATTACTTTTGGTGTGCATTGTCGAGGCCACATAAGGTGCCTCGACAATGCTACTTGCCACTAAGTTACAACTTTAAGTTAATTAGCAGGACTGGGGTGAATACATAGCTTATTTCTTGGTCTGTCTTTAAATGAATCATGCTCTATTGTTAAATAAGTCATACTCTATCTATAAATGAGTCATGCTCTATCTATAAATGAGTCATGCTCTATTTTTAAATGAGATATGCTATCTATAAATGAGTCATGCTCTATCAATAAGAAAGTCATGCTCTAACTATAAATGACACGGTTTTTGATCATCTCGCTCTATGGCTGACTTGCTAACTGCTGTGACTGAAATTTTTTATTGTGCATTAGATGGAGAAGGAGAGGCTAGGGCTATTTCTCTTGACATACCAAGGCTTTCGACAAAGTTTGACATACTGGTCTTCTCCATAAGCTTGTTTCATATGGTGTATCTGGAAAAGTTTTTGAGATCAAATCATTTCTTTCTAACTGCTTTATTAAAGCCATCCGCATAGGCCAAAATTTTTCTTTATTTCCAATAACTTCTGGGGTACCTCAAGGTTCTATCCTTGGTCCTGTTTTGTTTATTATCTACATTATTGATCGTCTCAACAACCTTACATCTAAAGTAGCTCATTTTGCTGATGACTCAACTTTATACTTCTGTCTTGACAAAAAGTCTTCTCTTTTCAACTGCTGATCTCACTTCTGCAATAGATTGGGGCTTGCAGTAAGCTTGTAAATTTTAACTCCAATAAAACTCAGTTATTTACTGCAAATAACTGAGTTTTATTGAAATCACAATACTGTTGAAATTCTTATATTAGTAAATGGCAACCCTCTAAGAGTTCCCTCTCAGAACAGGCAGGCATTCTTGAATCTGATTCCTCTTCTGGTTCAAACTACTTGGGACTTGCAGTGGCTTATGAACTAAATCCAACAAAACTCAATCAAATTCAAAAAACTCAGTTATTTAGTGCAAACAACTATTGTATAATAAAGATAAAATAGCAATAAAAACAATAAAAGCTATATTTTTAAACTGAAATAAGTCAGAGTAAGGCTAGACTAGTTAGGCACCTGAACCAAATAGGCACCTAAACCAGTATACTGATGTCAAAATTGGCCTAGATTGGACACTTGTTATACAACTTATGATAAATATATACATACAAGACCTCAACAAAATATGCAATTATATGTATAATAAATAAAATTATATAATAAACATATACATACAAGACCGCAACAGAATATACAATTTTATTTATGATTTATAATAATTATACGATATATATATATATATATATATATATATATATATATATATATATATATATATATATATATATATATACATATATATATATATACAAGACCTATGCAAAATATATAATTATATGTATAAATTAGTATTAACAATAAATTATGAATAACACCATACAAGATTTGGTATTTCATTAGGTTGAATGGTTTTTGAGGTACCACCTGTTGACAATTTGAGACCAAGAATTTGTGTTAAATGTTGTAGAGTTAATAGAATAATATGCCATGCAGTTCCAAGTAAACAACCGTGACAATGTGAAAGGTTTAATAGTGCTCTCATACACTCAACATTTTTAACTGTCATCTGAAAGAAAACAAAAGTAAAATTAACTGTTATCATATTTCTTCAAGAGTTATATATATAGCTAAAACTTAAATTCATATCCATAATAAATGTATATTTAGGATGAAATTAAAAATGTATATAAAATAGACTTACAATGATGCTCCCGGTGTTACTAAGTGAGTCTGGTGACTTTTCTGATGATAAACTCTCCAAAAGTTTTGATAAAGTACTGTTAAGATTATTAGAATTGTAACCTGATGGAAGTGCCATTTTACAAATGGATGCAATAAAAGCATCTCGGCAGGAGTTCAATTGCAACTGACCACAGACACTAGCGAAGATTTGCATTCCTTTCAATATTTGTTCATTAGCTTGTTCATCCGTACTAAAAACATAAAACTACTTTATATTTAATTGAAAAAAAAATTTCATAGTTATTCAAAGTTAAACCAATTACCTTGCTTCTAAAAGAAGTGACAGTGTAGACAGCATAGTTTTCCAACAATTTTCAATCATTTTATGCCAACAAGCTGACATATCTATTAGATATATAATACATTAATAATAAATTTTAACAGTTTTGAGTGCAAATATACTTTTTCCCCAACAAAAACATTTCTTATTGAATTTTAAGCTGCAAAGAACTTTACTATTTATAATTATAAGATTTATATTTTAGTTGATAAAAATTACTAATAAACTAAACATATAATGAAGTTGTAATGTAATTAATTTATATGGAATTCTTTTTTTAATTAAAAGTTAAAATATCAAAAAGCAAAAACCTATATGTGGTTCTACATCTAACGGTTGTGTATATTTAAAAGATTCTGAACCCAAACCAGTTTTATCATGATGGATAACATCTTTTACTTCCATATTTGATTCAGTGCGTTTTTTTATTGAATCTCGTTTCAAAATAAGAATGTCAATGGCATTGCAGATATGCAGCACGGTTGAACATGCTAACTGCATACCATAAGATTCACTAACATTTACATTTTCATTTTTGTAATCTAACTGATCTAAACTAAAAAGTAAGTTGTAAGAAAAATCATTACACAAAAATTGTGATAAGACCAAGGTCTTATGCTTTAAAAGAAATGAATATGAATTGTGTAAAATATTTTAAGGTGTGTGAGTTGAATAAAAGTTTTTAAGTCACCTTAAAAACTTTTATTCAAGTCCAAAATCATATAACTCAGAATAAAATGTATTAAAACCTAGATTAAACAGAAAAAAAATTAATACTAATTTACATACTAAATTGATTTTGAAACTAATAATGTAGTAACAGGTATCCAGACTCCATTATATATAAATCCAGATTGATTTCCCATTTTATCTACTGGTGAACCATTATTTTGGTTAGAAGTGGTGTTTAATTGGCCACTGTTGTCATTACAAAACAATGAACAGATAAACATTCCAAGTCCTTTGCAAATTTGCTCAAATATTTTTGTAGAGTGTTCTTGCATATCATAATATTCACAAAATGATCTACAAAAAAATAAGTTAAATATTTTTTGTTTTTTCTATTTATAAGAAACTTGTTCATAAACAAACTAATAAAAAAAAGAAATTTTTTAAGGAGAAGCTCTTTAAAAACTATTAATACTAGGTACTTTTCAATAAGAAACTTATTTTATTAAGAATCCAAAAAATTTCCTAACTATTCACATACATATATTTCCTAACATATCAACATAACACATTTTTTTTTCTAATTTATATTCTGAAACAAGCTAACAAAGTTAAAAGTAAATATTATGTACAATAGAGAACAACAGTTTAAATTTAAATGCAGTTAAAAACTTGCAAGTCTAAATAATTTATGTTGCAATGTCATAGATGACCAGTCACAAATGGCCAGTAACAGATAAGTGCAAAAAACTTTATTTAAGTAATAAAAACCTTTTGCCAGTATTTCTGCTCTTTTGTTTGTTGAAGAGAGTAAGCTTGGTATATTTGATGTAATGGGCATATATAATGGTTTAATATTGATATAATGGTTTAATTCAAAAGCAGGTTGTATTATCCAAAAAGCTTGGGCACTAGAAATTTAGCCCAACTTCAATTTGAAAAGCAGTATTATTGGTTCCTTGTTCGATAATATGAATAACACCAGGACTGAAATCATTCACATTGTTATCATAAATTTCTTTATTTAATTAAAAATAAAGCATTCAAGCTATCAAGGGAATCATAAACTCTCTGAAAAAAATTAATGACACAAAGAACAAAAAAAGAGTCATTTTGCTGCACATTGCATGCCAATCATTTCAAATAAACAAAGTAATTACAAAGTGTGATCTTCCCACTCTCTGGTAATAATTTAGAAATTAGATATTGACAAATTTTTAACCACTAAATTTTACAATTGATGCCACTCTTATTAAACATAAAATTAATAAAAAAATGAATAAAAATTAATTTAAAAAAAAATAGTACTAGTACTAGATATAAATGTGTTCTAATGATAAACTGAATAATAAGTTTGTTTGTGCCGGAAAAATCATAAAAGTACAGTTAGCAGATTTATTTGACATGTATGCAAATAAAAAATAAATAAAAAATAAAAAAGAAACCCAGTTGAATTGTTTGTAGACTAAAATATCTTAGGATGCCATATGAGGATAATTTATACTTAATTGTAGATTCAGCATTGATCAAGTATCCATGTCATTCATAGTGAAATGAAAGATATAATACAGAAAAATGATCCCAAAGACCAAAAAACCTGGACGAGCTTACTAGGACCAGGCTTATAGAATAAATCTACTCTTCCAGTTTGTATTTCAACTGATAACAAATAGTTTAAACTAGTTTGCAATAATCGGTTTACACAACTAGTGAACTTTTTAAAAAAACTTAAAGATGACAAATAAATTAGTTTTAAATGGTGTGCCTGGTGCTACAGATATATGTACAGATATAATTATTAAATAAATCCAGAAGGCTATCCAAATTATTTAATACCATCAAATTACCAATGAAAACCAGCCAAGAACCCATGCAATCTACTCCATCAATACCAGCTACAAAGTCCAAGCTATGTTACCAAAAGAATTACCAGAACCAATCAAGGTTGATATAGATTTATTAAAACAAGTGGATGTCACTAAAGACAGGGATTTTAACCAATCCATGATTAATAAGAGATATGTGGATATTTTGACCTAAGGTAAATATGTAGAATTACATGATACAATGCAAAACTCTCAGAATATCATGATCTGTTTCAACAACAATTTCGAGGGTTACAAAATTAAAAATTTTTTTGAGGGTTATAGCACATTAAATGATGGAATATAAATAATTTTTGTTGATTAACTGTAGAACATCTTTTTAACATGTATTTTTTTTTAATTGTTATTTATTCGCTTTTTTTTTCTTCTATGAATCTAAATCATAAGAAACAAAAATAAGAAAAATAAAAATAAGAAACTTAATTCATTTTCAAGGTCATTTATAATAATAATCCATTTGCAAGGTTGCTTATAAATAAATTGAATAATATCAAAACTATTATTTGTTAGTTATGTTTTACTTGAAAAATATTTTCGTAAAAATAGTCATATAATATCATCAAATAACAAATCACCTTAGTATCTGCGGTTGCTGGCATAAAGATTGTAGCACCTCTAATGACAATGTGCGTTGCCAGAAAGGTTTATCACTGTCCAAAAATTTTACAAGCAAAGATAAAAATATTTCACACTCTGTAATCTGTGTAAAAATAATTGTATAATAAACAATAATAAATGTAATAAATAATAAATAAATGATTAATTACAAATAATTAATCATTTATTTAAAATTTGATTTGTATTTTATAAAATTTAAAAAAGATTTTATAAAATACAAATCAAATTTTATTTTTAACAATTTATATTTTTCATAACAACAATTTACAAACGGTATTAAAAATATAAATAACAACAATTACAATTGATATTATAAATGTAAATAAAAATAAAAAAAAGAAAATATAAAAGATAATATAAATAAAATATAAAATATAATAGATTAAAAACATTATAAATATAAATAAATAAAAAATTAAATTATAAAACAATCAAATATTACTAATACTAAATTTAAGTTATGTGTAGTTAAAAAATTATTTAAGAAAATTAGAATAATTCAGAATAGGGTAAAACTTACCAGAAGAGTATAAAACTGTTTAATGAGCACTGAAACAACTCTAAGCAATCGAACGGAGAGTGAAAACAAAGGTTTTTCAATGATAGTTGGCGTGGAAACACCACTAATCTTATACTTAATATTTGGTGAAAACAATTTGATAATCAACGGACAGACTCTTTCCTTAAGAAGATAGCAAAACTCTGGATGCTAAAAATGAAAAAAAAAATAAATTTTTTGCAAAATAATGCTAATAGTACACAATTCTTTTAATTACTTTCTTAAAAAAAACTCTTTATTTAAAAAACTAATTGAATCAGAAAATATTGTTAATGTGTAAAAAATCAAAACTCAATGAGCATGTCGTATTCTGATAAGCTTTTGTATATATTACCAGAATTCAGTTTCATTATCAGGTTTCTGAAAAAACCACAAACCTGTTCTTTAGTAGTCATATTTACCCTCAATACCATTCTTTAGAAGCCATATTTACAACATATTGTTTCAACACAATAATTACAGATAAAGTGAATTGGTACTGTCTCCAAAAAAAATTCTATGTTGATTGAAAACCAACATAGATAGGTTCCTCAAAGCCAACACTTTTAAAATATATCATTATCTTTTTACCAAGCCACTTGTGTCTGTCAAATCCATTTTTATAGATCCCCATAAACCATATTCATTCAAAATCACTTGAAATCTTTCAAAAATTGTCTCTGGTTTTCCATTCTTCAATACTATTGGCTTTAGCCTAACCCCTCTTTTATCATTCTTTATCACAACTGCTTGATGTTTCACCCCAGCTATCTCTTTCCAGCCAAAATACAAACACAAATGACCTTAAGTTTTTTTCTCAATTTATCTCATAACTTTTTACTTTCTTTAACAACTGTTCTGGATTACTGGTTGGTGCAGGAAGAAGCAGACAGTTTAACTTTGCTTAACTAACCAATTAAACAGCCTTAACCGTCCTAGTTTAGTTTTTCATTTACTAATGTTTATTGGAGGTTTATAATCACTACCACTATCACCTACTGACTCATTTATATATTTATGTTCCTGACTGCATTCATTTAGAATTGAAGATAATGGCATTGATGGAATGTTTTGAATTTTAATTTACATCAAAGGATATATTTTTCATCAGACTTCATTACAGGCTTCATCCCACTCTATCAGATGTCTTTAACTGCTTTAAATAGAGACTTATATCTTCAAAATGCAAATAAAATCCATCTTCATTTGTTATATGAACAAATGATCAAAAATGTAGTTATCTGGGTTTTTTATTTCTATTTGTCACATTTTAATCAAACTTTTCTACTATCCTTGACACTGATCTTTTATTGATTGCTGGAAAATTTAAATTACTTCATAGTTCAAAACATTAATTTGAAATTTTCTTTATTACTTCCTTAACAGTTTTACAGTTCAATGCCAGTATCGGTTTATTATTTGTTAATTTGTATCGGTTTATTACATGCTAGTTTGTTGTTTTTTTTTATTTTTATTTTATGATTTTTATTTTATATCTCATGATTTTTGAGATTTCTTTTACTTTTTCTTAAAGTTTTTTTTCCATAAAAAAATTCTTTTTCCATTTTTTTGCTTTTTTGGTTCCAATCAAATATTTGTTGGCATTTTAAATGTGGTGTATAAACTTATAAATCAAAATATGTATTGTATATTAGGGTAAATTGTAAAAAAATTTTGATTTTTAAATTGCCAGATAATTTTTATGGTACCATTATATGTAAATAATAAATTTAGAAAAGAAAAATTTAAAAAAAGAATTTTCACCTATGCGGGATTGCAGTTTTCGGAAAGGTAAAATTGATCATTTATAACTGCTGGAGGGAAGGGGGGGGGGGAGGAAGGGAGGGGAGAGGGTTAAAATCTGAAAAAAAAAAGGAGAGAGGACAGGTTAAAACACCATACATTTAGAATGAAGCTTGCAGCTGTGTATCTAGTGCTAAGTTTTTCTTATATCTTTAATTATCTTAATTGTGAATTTTAATACCGTTTCTTCATAGGAGCCTAATAAAAGAGCTCAAACTAGGGATTCTGAGTGGGCAAAATAAACTTCATTTTAAATGTATGGTGTGGCAATGTTTTTAAAATTCTTTATCTTGTCTTTTCAGCAGTCACAACATTGTTACTTTGTGACATAGCTATCAACAATACTGTGTTTTACTTTTATTTTATATTACATAAAATATACTTGTGCTACCCATTAAAGATCAAGTGAAACTTTAAAAAAATGTCACTAGTAAACATGTGTTCACTCATATAGAAAGAAAAAAAAAAATCTTGTGGCAATTCATCAGTTTTGGCAAGCCACCTGGCAAATGGCAAATGTTTTTACACTTTGCTTTAGAAAGAATTATGACAATTTAGTTTGTAGATAAACATTAACAAATTTATAACAAAGCATTGCACTGTCAACATTGCTTTTAGGATGTTCAATCAAAGGTATCAGCTGTTATATAGGTTCAAATGTTTTTATGCCATTAACTCAAGATAGAACCTTTGCAATAGGGCCAGAAAAAAAAATTTTAAATTAGTTGGAGCATTTAGTTTAACAGTTACATGCCTCAATGGACATTTATTACAAAGCAGCATATAAATGACTAGAAGAATTGCCTCCTGGTTAATTGTTCCAGATTTAATAGAAAACCTCCATCTTTTTCAGAAACTGTTATGGTGTTTGTACAATCCCCCTACGAGTTCTAAGGACTCATCGGATGCCCTTAAAACTATCTAATTATAAATAATTTTTATAGTTATACTGTCTGAACTTAAGATAACATCATTCAAAAAATGAAAGTCTGACTCTTTTAAATTTGTATTTCTTATTATATTATAGCACTTTTATATTAATCTTTTAATGCACTTTACCTCACAGATATTTATTTTTCGAATAAAAATTTATCCACGTTTTATACCATATAGTAATATATAAAAAAAATTATTTAAAAATTTTAACCCCCCTCCCTTGCATTTACTCCTAAATGGTCAATTTTACCTTTCCGAAAACTACAATCCCGCATAGGTATAAAAAAAAAATTTTTAATATTTTTTTTCAAACTCTTAATTCACATATAGTGGCATGATAAAAATTATTTGGCAAATTAAAAATAAAAAAATTTAAAAGTACAATCTACCCAATTGTATATATACAAACCCTGTAAAATTAAAAAAGAATTACAAATACAAAACATTGCCAAAAGACTATAACAAAAACAATGCTATACAAAATAATATTAAACTTTTTAACTTGAAACATTTTTCCTTTAACCAAAACAAAGTATAAAAATTTTTAATTTAAAAAATCTTCTCCCTAACCAAAACAAAATATTAAACTTGGAGTTTTGAAAAATTTTTCCCATAACTAAAACATGATGCTTATTTATAAACCACTTTTAACAAAATTTTATTAGAAGAAAAAGGTATTTATATTGCATTTTAAATTTTAAATTTAAAGTTTTAATATTTTATCCTTATCAAGTAAATTACCAGGAAAGTCAATTTTATTTTAATAATTTATATCAAGGTATCAAGTTGTTAACATAAATGGACCGTAGCTCTTGGTATTTAAGCTAGTGTAAGTAATATAATCTAACATAATAAGTTCCTAAGGAGCTAATAATAAATATAATTATAGGAATTTTTATAAATAATAAAATAATATGCCTTTAAAGGGACTTTAATAAAATCAAATTATTGAAAATAAAAATGATTATGATGAAACAATTTACAATAAGAGGTATAATGAATCAAAATGCCTTTTACAATATATTAATAAATTATTTAAAACAAACAGCATTTTTTGAAAAGATTTACTGTTACAATCATTACATGTATTAATTAACATAAATATAAGTTTAAAAATGATTTTTAGTAGAACAAATGCTCAATAAACCCAATGTCACTGATATCACTTTTGTTTGCTAAACCTAATGTCACCTAGTCACTTTTTCTTGCTCAATAATGATAATCCTAATAAACCTAATGTCACCTAGTCACTTTTGCTTGCTCAATAAACCTGTCACTGATTTTGATACAGAAGATGAAGTGATACTAATATCAAGCAATGGATCACCCTGTTTGTTGGCTATATCAGGTAGGATGTGATTAATGCAATCACAGATTTATTAGGAGGAATAACAGATTTGCCCGTATTAGAAAGTTTTTGAGATAAAATACAAGATTTTGTGAAAATAGCGGGCTTTGACCTCAACAAGGCACATCAAGAGTACAAACAGGGACACTATCCATGGTACTGTTAGTAGTCTGATATTTTACAGCTGTAGATAAAATCAGCTTCTCTGAGAGCTACCACAGAGCTTGGTAAAACTGACTACCAACGGGCCTCAGAACCATAAAATTTAGTTTTAGAGCAGTACCCTCATTAGGAGATAATGAAACAAGTTGCCTAGTCATAAAAACAGAGGCACAAGCAAAATCCATGTAATGATTCATGAAGATCCAGCATCCAACATATTATAAATACACCTATGCCAGCCTAATAGATTAAGTTGGGTCGCGAAGCTGGTCAACAGATTGAATCTGTTGACCACTCAAGTCTTAGCTAAGAGGACTTCTATAAAATAGCAGCTGGATGCAGTCAACAACTGCCCAAGATGTGTATTTTTATCAAGACACCATCTCTAATTTTACTCAACCAAGAGTCCCAAGACAAGGGTTGTGTTACGCTAGAGTTAGCATCTCCTAGCCTCTGTCTAATAAGGCATCTCCTAGCCTTTGCCTAAAAAAAACATGTCATTCAAGGCAACATGACATGTATCAGGTTGTATTGGGTTACATTTCTGACATTAAAAAAAATGATTTAAAAAATATTTTTTTTTTATAGTTATTTTTTGTGCGTAAATACTGCCTGTCCAAATCCAAATCCTCTCTCGATGTATATACTAAAACTCCCATAGACAGCTATTTCAGTATGGCATTTTCAGTGCCTTCTAGCTATATCTGCATTTAATGAGACAAAAAATCTTTTTGCTTTAATAAAAAATCTTTTATTTCTAAACAATACCTCCCCATCCCCATACTCTCAGTATGTACTGTAATGTATGTATTGAAGCACCTGCTGCTCCTATTTCAGGATGACATCATCTGTAGGTATCTAATGCTGCATTTATACATGTATACATACATACATAATTTACATGTATCAATATATGCAAATAGTGCTACATAAAATGGTA